AGTAAAAATCATTTTTCGTCACGAAAACTCAACTTTTTTTATTTTAAAGGCGATATTCGCAATCAGCATAAAATTCTACATCTAGTCCATGTATTATTACAGAAATGTGAGAAAAAAAAGTTTTCCTAAAATCCTTTGGGGGACCAAAGGCGCCAAAAACCTTCCAAAAAAATTTTGAAAAACTAAGTGGTACAAAATGTTTCAAATAATCCCCTGACATGTTTCTGATAGAAAAAATGCAATTCCATTGGGTGCGGGAAACCTACCTTATCCGCCCTCCTCCTTTCCTGCTGTGCAGTGACAGAAAATGCCTTAAAATGATTTCGTTTCAATATCATATAAGAAAATTTTCAGACACCGGTTGACAGCCGGTTCATGCATGAATTGCAAAATGTACTCTACCCTGAAAACTTTTAGAATGTTTGACATTGTGTAAATTACTTCCGTAACAAAAAAACATACGAAATTATGAATAATCCAGTTTCTATTGTTAATAAAGTCTGTTGTTGGTTTGAAGCGCTATTGAAGCGTTATTTAATTGTACCTTGTACCTATACGAAAGTTACTAGAACAAATAGCAAAAAACAAAACACTAATTCAAAAGCACCTGTCGAACGAAGGCTTGAATTAGGAAGAGAATTCGAACTCCCGTTACCGAATGGTTTAGATATATTCAAGTATTGCACCGAATATTCCTGTCCTTGCTCAGTAGCTCCAACAAAATCCATTGTTGTGGGAAGTTCTCCAATGCATGCAGGATCACGCCATTCTTGTGGAAATAGATCGGGAAATACCCATGAACAGATGAGAAAGAGTGGACACGTATATCCAAGTGTTGCTATATTGATAGTAATATGACCAGTCAATGGAATGGCATAGAATGTTCGCGTTTTTGATGTTACCAATGCGAGTTGAGCAGCATAATCGAGAGGTGCCGCCGCATCGAGTTGACCCGATAACATCAACAAGGGTGAATAAGAAGCCACTTGATAGTGATACTGATCCAATGGATACTTAGGCCATTGAGAACGCAAGGAAATATATAATTTAGGATCCTGCGGAGCCATTATGGTTGAATTATGCCAACCTATTATTGTCTCTTCATCGACTTCGCTTTCGTTCACAGCTAGCCAACGTTCCGATTGTACAATATTATAATTGAGAACGCCGGAATAGATCAGTCCCGGTGTATTAGCTAGGCCTCCATCTGCATCTCCTCCCGTTCCAAAACTAGTTTTGAAAAAGAAATCCAGTACTGTGACATCTTCTTCATTACAACGATTCAGACGAAAGATGATGGCCGGTATCACAGTACGATCAAAATACGTATCGCCCGATTGCATCATGCGAAAGAGTAGACCTCGAAGCATATCTGCATTTAAATTATATTGAGAAAAATGAGCATTGGCACATTGTTGGCTGTTTCCATCCAATTCATAAAGCAATCTCGATAGCATGATGTGAGGTGGTTGATCAGCTGGGAAATGTTGACTGCATTCAGTTTGTAATTGACAATAGGTCAAAAAACCTGTGGCAACTGACGATGCCCTAAGATCATAACGGCTACTACTGGATAGTAATGGGTTGACCACACCATCCATGACAGCCGACTGAGTCAGATTCGGATAGATTTGAAGAAATCGGTCAAGCCACTGTGACCCATAGCTAAGACCATAAATGGACACGCGACCAGGAGAAATAGATTGGTAAAATTGGATTTGAACAGACAAGTCATGAGCAGCTGCGGTGATCGAAAATTGATTCAAACCTTCGACACCCCATCGTGCAGTGAGATAGGAAATACAGTCAGCAGTTATGTTTTGTGAATCGTGATCATCGCAGCCTAAGACGGTCGATAGTCCACAACCACGATGATCAGGCAGGATAATGGTGATACCATAAGTGGGTGGAATGAGTTGTGCTGCCGTTTGTATAAAACTCCAACCAGATTCACCCGGACCACCCGTCAGAATGAAAAGAGTGTTGTTGTTCGTTCTGTTCTGTTGAATGGGGGACTGAGACGTGTCATCGAAATTGAAATTGACGTCCGATTGGGTTGTGCATAGTTAAGAGGGACTTGCAGCGTGCAACAATCGAGTAAATAGTTTTGAAATTGAGAAGTAGCATCGGTCACATTGCAGATAGACCACACACAAGCGTTCTTTGGAACATAGATGCTCGCGACAGTTGTCATCGATTGCGTAGTCACAAGGGCAAACAGCGTGCATAAAATCAATGTGAAGAGAGGATACATCGTGGGCTGACAGCCGCGAACGAAGAGTTTCCACTCACGTCTTGTGGGTATGATATTATAATTTGCTTCGTTCTCTTACCCGGTTACTTTATATAACGAGGGTGTTATACATAGAACATGCGATAGAATTGCACAATGGTGAGAAACAGAAACCACTATGTGTCTGTCGTTACCTGCCAACAGTAATCACACTCATAATACTTTAATTTTATTTAATTTATTAACTTTGCTAATGAATAATATCTAAATATCCCTAATTAAGAAACATTCATAATAATTTATCATTCAAATTTTTGAGCTTAACACTAGAACGCGCGGAAATTTTCATGACCTAGAACGCCCAAAGCGGTCATTTTGACCGTTATTGTTTTTTTTAAAAATTTTATACTTAAAAATGGTTCTGAATTAAAAAATGAATTAAAAATTCTGCAATATATATAATAATTTTTGTGGAACAAATTAAAAGTTATGATATAATTTATTTTTAAATAAATTATATGCAGTTTGTTTTATTAAGGATAAAAATCACAAAACGGTCAAAATGACCGGTACGGGCGTTCTAGTGTTAAACCTCAAATATAAAATAGTGCATCTTCTATACCTTGACGAGCTCTACAAAACTGGCTATTCATCTTTTCGAAACTGTAGCTAGATGCACTATGAAATTATTTAAAATCAAAATACTGATCTTACCGCTGTGACAGGCGAAACATGCCTATTCCCGAGCCTGTGTAGGGTGTTGGAAAATAAGTCTGTGTAGGGGGTGGAAAATGTTTGTAAGTATGGGCAAGGTACTCAGCATAGCCGATAACGGATCAAAACTATCAGTTTTCAGACGTAAAAAGGCGACCGTCGTTATATATAAATATCAGCCCACAGTGGGCATTTTTTGCTAGAGCAAGCGGACTTTAGCTTTATGAGTGAACTAAAATTTCATGAACCATCTTTTTATAGGTTTTTCATGATCCTCTTTCTAATGGCATGAGAG